GGGCAAATTTGTTTGGACTAAAATGAGTTTCACATAAATTCTTAAATGATAAAAGTAGAATAGGAGATTTTTGTTGCACCAAAATTACTTTTGTACTTTTGAGTGTTGTCAAGACTCGTCAGTATCCACAAAATCTTATTCAATACTTGTATAAGCAATTTAAATACACAGAGAGAAATCTTTTTTTTAAAGAATGTGGAGTTACTTCTATTTTTTTTGCGACAGCCTACATCATACATAAACACTTTATGTTTAATCCAAATTATTTCTCCTTAAGTTTTTTCTTCATGCCTTAAACAAAACGTTTGATTCTTCTGAAATCCTTCTCGTATTAAAAAACATAAATGTCCCGTGGTTTTGTCCCACTCTCATCCCGCCCGGTGTGAGCTCCCTTTCATGTCTGTGTGTGAAAACGTTCCTGAGAGGACAAATTATGTGATTGTTTCATTTTCTGATGCCGGAGCACTTCACGTTCTTGTGTTAACAATTAGCTAACAATAACAACTCACTTTGATGCTAACCAGGGTGGAAGCAAGGTCACGACCTTTAACAGCTGCACGGCTTCACTGCAACCCCCACCCACCCACCCCCCAGACCTGATTCACTTACAAACACACACACACACACACACACTGATTTAGAATTTACATTTAAAAAATCCACTTAGAGAAATGCAGAATCCCATGAAGAACACTGCACACTTTTTTTTTTTTTTTTTTTTTCTGTGATATCGATGGTGTCCAGATGTTTTAAGGGCCGGGATTAAAACAACAAGAAACAATCTGCAGCGAGCATGAAGGCCTCACGACTTCCCTTTATCTGTAATTAGTCTTTAAACTAAGAGTTAATTGAGTTATTTTTGTTGGAGATTGTAATTTACAAATGTGCTGTGACTAATTCTCTTATAATCTCCTCGTGGATGTTCACATTTTACTTGTTAGAACTAGTTTTTCTTTTTCGTGTAACTGTGGATACAATCTGGATGTCATTGACTTTTTTTTAAAAAAATAACTGGAAAGAATCAGAATGTGAATGAAAAGCTTTTTTGAAATGTCAAACCTAGGAAAACAGTCTAAATATTTTCTGCTCTTGAAGCTGACTCCTGCAGGTGTGGCCTGTTTGGACGTCATCGCTCTAAGTTAACTTATAAACATGGATCTGTTACAATATTCAGATATTTTTGGACTCCATCTAGTGGCATGAACTCGCTGTTGCTGAAGAGCTTTAAAGTGATCCAGTTGCTTGTGCAGGCCGAGGACAATCTTCAGTACTGTTCAGGGTGTTGATCAGCTATTGTCTGGTTTATTTTTTGATCAGGCAGTCTTAGATATTAGAGAGCACTATCAGGTCTGATATCACAGCATGCTTTGGCAACCTTTCTGTGCAGTTAATAACCAAACTGACTCAGACAGCACGGGGATTTATGAGCGCTAAACATCACACGTCCCTGCAGACTGATTTTGAACAGACTACTCTAAAGCTAGCCAAAAAGATTATCAGTGACCCATCATCACATTTTCTACATGTAGAGAATTGATCCCTGTGTCTATAAAACTTTTAAGTAGTGTAAAATAAGTCAGGATAGGCTCTGGAGTATCATTTGTCTTTGCGTGGTATTTTAAGAACTGGGTGTTATTTATATTCTTATTTATTTTCTTATTATTTCACAATCTTCATTGTTTTATGTTTAATGTGTATGACATTGTTAGGGGCCACAATGAAGAAGAAAAAGAATTCTGATATTAAACTCGTGAATGGATTAAAATAAGCTGGTGATGGTTAAAATGATTATTCTGAAAGGTTGTATCAGAAGAGCAGCCGTCCACCTGCGAGAAGACGATGAAAAGAGAATCCTTAAAGCCACAAAAGAGGTGATTTCCTCCAAGTCTGTGTGGTTCTTTCTTTGGAAAAGCCCTGTAGTCTTGCAGCATCTTTTCATGGTCCTGATACTTTACGACAATGTGATGCTGATGCAACAAAAGCCTGTGCAGTATCATATTGTCATAAGTAAAGCCCCGACACAACTAATGGGATATTTAAAGACATAAAGCTTACTTATTTGTGAAACTTTTACTAAAGTATGACTTCACAAGATGCTCCACGTTCCTCATGTTCAAACAGACGGCTGCTCATCTTCTGATTTAGCTATAGAATAAAATAATGACTTTATGCTCGTAAATTTGTAACTTTATTCTAGTAAATGTATGACTTTAATCACAAAATCTAAAAACAAAAATCCCTGTAAGTGTGTCCATAATACTCCGTGGTAAATGTGAATGATGTTTGTTGTCTCTTTATCGGCTGCAGCACGGGTGTAGAGCCCAAGACCCACATTTCTCACTTTTTGAGACAACAAAGTTCATCTTTCATCTTGATCTACGAGTGAAAAGTGTTCGTCTAGGCCATAAGCAGTTGGAGGAGTTGTGTCAGTAGCTCCTATATACATTCAGTGTATGACTTATTTCAACTTTGTAACACCTGCTCTGAATGGTGAGAGGGCGTTCTTGAGTCAAAACACTGACCTCTTTAGAGCCATTCAACGTTTATACATTTTTAATGGAGTTGACTTTGGCTTGGTTTTAATTAATGACTTGGCTAAAGCAGCTGCTACAGCTCCAGGAGGCGGAGAGCCCAAAGTGAGTCCAGCAGCTAAAAGCTCGGTTGATTGATGTGTTAAAAAGAAGAAAAAAAAAAGAGAGCGAGAGAAGAAGAAGAAGAAGCCGAGGTCAGTTTGTGATCAGTGTGGTGCTGGATTCGATGCGACTACAAAGCATGACAATGCGGAGCAGGAAAAAACAAACATGTTTAGTCGTCGTCACCACAGAAGCCTTCACTTTGCAAAGTGGAGGAGGAACACATTACAACGAAGGTTTTCCACAGTAACTGTATTGCAAAAGTAAACAAGGCGGACAATCATATCATTCAATAACAATATGTTTGCTCCTCGGAGTCTGCCATTTTTCCTCTTTATGTCTTAAAAAAGTGAGCCATGATCTCAAACAGAATCGTCTAAATACAGAAAAATATAGTTTCAGGTCAAAAAGGATTGTAAATACTTACTAGTACTGTAAATAACAGTGAGGGAAGACAGCTACAACAGGTATCATTCACTGTCCTGGCACAGTGGATGCATTTAATAAGTCAGACATAGAAAAATAAACCACGACAACGAAAACACACATGTTGTACAAATGGAAAAAAAAAACCAAAAAAAAAAAACCTGAAGAATACAGTATGTCCTAACGGCAGAGTTTGATCGGAGCGCATGTCATACTGTATCTGAGAGGCGGACGCATGGTTTACACTTCTGACTCAAACACTGCTGCTATATGGAGCACATGTAGCGCCGTTTGAATATGTCCGGACCAAAAATGAAAAAAATCAGTGTGATGGAGGCGTGGACGCAGTCGCTTATAATGATAATATGAACAATAAGAATCATAATGAACTGTTTTTATCATGATATCATAGACATTGAATGAAGACAGAGTGGAGGTTAAAAACAAAAAAAAGTTTGCTTATGTAGATTCGAGCGTGTAACATGTTCATGATGCCCCCCCCCCCCCCCCTCCTCCTCCTCCTCCCCCGTCACATACATCCAAAAACCAAGAGGAAGAAACGTCCCAAAAAAAAACAAACAAAAAAAAAAAACGTAAAAACAAAAATATTCTGCTAAGGGTCATTTCACAAGTTGATGAAATATTCCAAACGAAAAGAACTCTTAAGAATTGTACAAGTATAAAAAAGCTACAAACATTAATAAATTACATCACTGACACATAAACACTTCACAAGGTGCTAGTAAAATAATTCCGAAACCCTTCAGGATACTAGAACTCGAACAAGAGGCTGGTCATAGAAACTTTTAAGTGTCTTTTTTTTGTTTTGTTTTTTCTTTGTTTTTTTCCTTCTTCTTCTTCTTTTATATAATTTACACCCCCAAAGCTTCATCTCTTGCTCAAACAGAATCACAATACAATTAGCTTTGTGTATGTAAGGCCATATGACAATAAAATGTTTTTTTTTTTATTTACGTCTTCAGTTGTTCTCCAGGCAACACCTTCCAATCTAACAGGACCGGAAATAATACAAAAATGAATCTCTGCAATTAAAGAAAAAAAAAAAAAAAAAATCAAAAAAGTTCCAAAATGAGGACTATAATGTATAACCATATATATATATATTTAGATTCATTTATTCATAATTAGCAAAACTGGTAAAAATGTAGAATTAAAAGCCTTAAGGGGATGAAAGGATAGAAAAAGTGGTAATTGAAAAGGCTATGTACAAGCTACATTCTACATACTGTACTGAGTGAAGCCACATAAAATGCAGAGAGAGGAGTGGGAAGGTGTCGGGTGCTGCCTGTGAAAGCAAAAGAAGAGAGAAAGTATCCCCATGTAACTGCAGACCTGACATGGATGAGGCTTATCATTAGCTACAGGTTCCTATGATGGTCATGTTTCCAAATACCCACAATCCTGTTCAGCAGGCGTCATCCACTCAGTCCCGTGGGAGCCAAATCTTTCAAACGGCGGGACTCGTCATGACCCTGCTGCTGCTTTGATACGACTTGTGCTTTACAATTTGTGGTGTGAAGTCTCACTTCCTATAGATATATATATATATATATAACAACAGGAATAAATAAATACCAGCGCTGATAGTGCTCTGCAACATAAGTGTTGACGTAATGGAGATAAATGCTTGACTCGACACAAATTCAAAACCGAAGAACGGAGGCGATTTCCTTTTCCTCCGTTTCAACCCGTGCATCCTCAGTGTGGCAATGATAAGCTGCATCCATTACGTAGGACTTAATGTGTAAAATCCCTCCCCCCCCCCCCCAACCCAACCCACGACCCCCTGATCCAAGCGCACATGCAACTGAATACATGCAAGGGATACTTTCGAAAAATCTTGGAATGACTGCAAATGTACTTCTACTTCATGTTTTAGCAACCCCTGATAAACTGACAGCTGTAGTAAAATGAGACATGTTCTCTTAAAAAATATTTATAGTAGGTTCTGTACACTTCAATATCTGAAAGTTATAAAGTATAAGTAGAGGCAAAAACCTATTTGAGTGATGTTCTTCTTAGAAATTGAAAAAATGCATGATTTTCTGTTTCGTTTTCTCCTCTCCTCATTGTTGGCTTTATTCAGTGAACACGGGCTGAGTTTGGGATTGGACCCAGCTCGTGAATTCCCAGTCCCTACAGCAGTCTCTGCTGCGTGCTACAGGAGGAGCTTTCCATTTCGATGGATCTTTAAAATCTTTCCAAGTCTCTGTTTGGCTGTTGCCATGCCTTTCTTTAGCCGCTTAGCTGTGAGGAGAAGAAGGAGAAGACAGGGAGATGAGATATGAGTGTTACAGCTCCTTGTGTTACTTGACAGATTTCACTCTTTTCTTTACTTCAAAACAATCAATATAACAGGTATTACAGCGTGCAAGTCTGCAAGCATCACATTCTTGACCCATTACTGCCACCTATTGGCAACAAGAGGAATCAGATGAAAGTCTTGGCAGTGATATGATTACAGCTCCTTCCTGCTCCTGCAGAGAAACAACAGACACAGTCTTCCATACATGCAGCATTAGAGCTTATAGTTCCTCCTTGTTGCCAGGGGAGACGGTCCACAATTCTGACTGATAGGTTAATTCCATAAAAAAGAACTGATGGAGTTATTTCAGGTCAGTTTATTTTGAAACTGATCACTACGTGTAAATGTGGAAAATCAGGTAATTAAATGAAATCAAGCTGGATGAACATTCATGAGATAAAATCCAGGAGAGCCGACCTGGTCAGTGCAACAAAGTTAGATTCAGTGTGAAAAATCCGCTTCAGAGGTTTTATTTCCAAGAACTCTTTCGTCCCCCTGGCCATATGATTGGCTGGAGGTTTAGCACACAGTGACTCTTGGATTAAGGCATTTTTTTATTTTTTTCCCTAAAGGAGAAAGCCTCTAGTATGACACTTTAATTTCCATCTTTACAAATAAAAAAATGTGCAACATTGCACCTTAAAGTTTTCACAGACTGCACGACCTGTTTTCAGAGTCTGCTGCTCCTTGCAACATAAATGCTGCTCTGTCACTCTGATCATGACCTGTAATTTGATAAAATCACTTCATAAAAGAAATCCATCTGGATGTACATTCAGTGGATGAATATTAATACTCTTCTTTACATTATTATATATTGGACCAGCTTAGAACAAAGGGTTCCCAGACTTTGCCATGGACCCCCATATAGCATTAGCCACCGACAAGGATCCCCCTCGAGCAAAATGTTATTGGCAAGTATTTTGGCAGAAATGAAACCTTGAAAACCTGAAATGATCCTTACAGAATCTAAATATGTTTCCTACTTTTTTTGATCATCTCATATGAATCGTGGTTATGATGACTCACCTTTGGCCTCCGCTGACCCCCCTCGGTCTGCCTTGGGCATGCTGCTGCTGTTGGTGCTCGAGGAGTTGTTGCTGTTGTTGGGAGAAGACATGGATGGTCGCCTGTGGCTGAGGAACACGCCCGGCGCCATGGGCTGCGGGCCTCCCGGCGACTTCACCGTGCCAGTGTTGAACTCGTGGTCGATCGGGCTGCTGTCGTGGGAGTCCAGATTGTGATCCGGCGAGCTGCTGTCCTGAGAGATTCTCTGGGGCTCCTCAATTACTATTGCCTTCTTTTTGGTACTTTTCTTCTTCTTCTTGGTTTTCTGCTGCTCCTCCTAGTGACACATGTTGTTTTGTTGAGTGTTTCTTAACAGGACCAGGTGCTCTTTAATGTAAAAAACACACACGATGACGACATACCTGATGGGACAGCTTTGCTGCAGCCGCTGCCAGCCCCGTCTCTATGGACGCCACTCTGGCTCCGTCTCTCGCAGGTCGCTCCTGTCGAGGAACCGAGGGTCCTACCCGGGCTGTGACGACATGGATGGAACGGTTTACAGATCATTCGGCTTTTATTAACTAAACATTACAGACCTTTGAATCCACAATCCACAGTATTCACCTGTCGGGCTGTACGGAGTGTCGTCACTGCTTTTCCGCTTTTTCGATCTGGATTTGAACACAGGATTATCCTCTTCGGACTCCAACGAGGGGTAAACTAGAATCCAGAGATGTCACAGATTACTAACATGTCATGCGTGTAAGGTCTTCACTGAGAGGATGTGGGAAGAAAAACATCCACCATTACAAGGTCATTATTTTCACATATGTTGAGCATGGAATGTGACTTAGGAGCACTTAATTCTGCTCCCTGGAAATTTCCAGTGACAGCATGCAGGACAGCTGTGAGACGGCTGTGGACTTCCCCTGTCTCTCTCTGTGTGTCTGACTTAACAAACCAATCCAATCCAGACCTTTTGATAACTGATAATTAGCTGATCAAGGTTAAAAAAATCCTGTTTACAGAAGAACAAAAGAGTCCCATTATGGAATAAAAGCTTCATGCAGGCTGTAAGATTTCAGTGCATGAACGTTCGTGCGACGAACAACTAAGTAGACACCAATTGGAAGTTCAAAAAAGCACGTAAAATAACTCGTGTTAATGGCTTATTAACAAGCTGGGAGGGTCCGCACAGATGTGTTTGGACGGGCTTCACAAAGAAAAGAAAAAAGAATTACAAATTGGAGCAGCACGAAAAGGAATGGAATCACTGCACGGAAAATAAACCTAAACCATCATCATCTCCTCCTGATGAAAAGTTCCAGGCCAAACTTTCAGAATTAAAGACCCGCATGTTGCTCCATCAGCGGGTCGATGTGTTTTTAACAGCAACCTGTTTGCAGATAATTATTTTCTCATTCAATTTGCTCAGAAAATCACCCTGCGATCGTGTCCTGACCTCGGGCCAGCTCCGATCACCTACCGCCTTTTTAAAAAACAAGTAATTTAAGAGGGAGGAGTCAGCTTCCACTGCTTACCATAATCAGAGTCCTTGAAGCATGCGTCCATGTGATCGTGCTCGTCATCGTAGTCCAGACTCTCGATGCTGCTGCTCTTTCTGGGTTTCTTCGGGAGCCGTTTGGTGGGCCGCTTGCCGTTGCTGCCGCCGCCGCCACCTCCTCCGCCCGACTTCTTGCCGCCTTGCGCGCCGTGCGAGTTGCTCTTCGACTGGCTATTGCTTTTGGACTGGCTGTTGCTCCACGGCTGCTGCAAGCTGTCTGAAGACGACAGGTTGGCCATGGACAGCATGCCCTGAATGGCCTCCTGTGTGCTGGGAGATGCAGGTGGCTGACTGTAAGTACGTCAATAAAGAATACACAACAATACAGCCATTACACAGCAGTCGACACGCCGGCAGAGGAGAAGAGTGAGAGAAATCAAAGAGCTGCTGGGGGCTACGAGTCATCGTTATCTGAAATGATAACAGCTGCAGAATGTTTAACTGAATCTGGGCGAGCGAAGAAGTGTCGAACCTAACAAACGTCCACCTCGTTCCAGCTGGGCTTCAGAATGAGCAAATTGACCATCAAACGCGAGGTCCCTTCGTTCCCCTCACACCAACACAGCTTCCTCTTCAAAAGCGCCAAAACAATTTGAGAAAATTAACATATTTCTGCCAAAGTCGTCCTCGGTTCTTTCATTGCTCATTTGTAGCTTTCAGTGCGGTGGAAGTAGACCATCAAGAGCCGAACAAAACAGCAAACAGCGACTAGGCGAAAGGGAAGAGCCTGGAGCCGAAACACGCTTTGATCGATGAAGGCAGGATGAAACAAACATTGACTTTACACAAACTGCTGACAGATTCTGACTAAACTGTTGCTTCAGTTGTTGCCTAATTTTTCAGCTCCGAGCAAAGTTATCGAATTAATCTTTTTTCATCCAATTACGTTCTCGTTGAGCGGGCCGTTTGTTTGTCAGTGAGCTGCCCCATTAAGGAGCAAACGTCTTCAAAGCCATGTACCGTGAAGACAAGAGGTCCAGCGGGAGCCATTTAGGGAGTAACGCTGGGCCTGTACTGTACTGTGTTTATATGTAAGAGTTCAATTGGCGTTGAGGGGAAATGGAGTGAAGAAGTAAAGGGGGAGGGGGAGGGGGAGGGGGGGGGAAGTCAGGGAGGTCAAGTCTACCTGTTGGCGCTGTAGTCGATCCCACCCACTTGCTTGCTCGCCTGCAGCAGGTCGAGAATCCCAGCGGCGCTGCCGCCCTTTTTCTTCACCTTGGAGTTGCGACCTTTGACCTCCGGCTTGGCCTCCGTGTCTATGTGCAGAGTCTCTTCGTCCGAGGACTCGACACTCTTTGATGGTAGAAAAGAGACGTGAGAGACACAGTGAAGACTTAGTGAAGCCAAGAGCCATCCATCATCTTTACAGCTTTTACAGATCAGGGTCACACGGGGGCTGGAGCCGATCCCAGCTGTCATAGGGCGAGAGGCGGGGGTTCACCCTGGACCAGTCGCCAGTAAATCACAGGGCTGACATATAGAGACAGACAACCAGACACACTCACATTCACACCTACAATGTAGAGTCACCAGTTAACCTAACGTGCATGTTTTTGGAGTGTGGGAGGAAGTCGGAGTAACCAGGAAGCTCCTCGCTGTGAGGTGACAACGCTAACCACTGCACCACCATGCAGCCCAAAAGTTCAGATACCTGCAGTCTATTTGTTCTGAGAGTGATTTCTCTGTGTTTGAGTGATTCCCTTCTCTGCGTTGTTAAGTATTTATTTCTAATGACCGTGTTCCTGCTTTTTAATTTGATGTCATCAGTGAACCCGAGACTTCTTGAATCTGTAAGATCTTTAAAAACAGGTTTATTTACTCCTGCCTTCCCATCAGTTCAATCATTTTTTTAAATCTACTTTTATTTAAATAAATGCTGTTATATATATCTATATGCTGTCTAATGATTTTACAGTCTCACTTAATCATTTTAATATGATCACTATTTAGGTATATTTTTGCCAGACGTCTTTCCTTCTTTTGGAGATTTTAATGTCTTGATTTAGTTTAATGTCAGATCTCTTTTAATGCTCTTAATGTTCCTAATGCTCTGTTTTGAACTCTGTAAAGTATGAATGCTGCTTCATAAATAAACCTGCCCTGCGTGGTCTTACATTAACTGAGCCTAAGAAAGAGGGGGGGCAACTGTAGACCCCTTTAGACCTCCATTAAACATGTAGGAATGTAGTTTCAGACACGTAGACAAAACATGTTGAAATACAGACGAGCCTTCAGACATTCTCAAACTAACGTGCGTTCACTAAAGTCACCAAAACACAAGAGACACAAAATGAATGTGGGACACGGTGAGTGTGGAGAATCTGGGTCAGTGGGACAAAAAGCCCATTTCAGTGACCCAGCCTCGGATCTGAGAAACTATAAAACATGAACGACATTGTTCCAACTTGTGACCTCTAACGTCTGGAGTATAACAGTTTCTTCCTCTGCCTTTCTTCATGCTCATCAGTGTGTGGCCGTCCACACTTACAGTGATTTCAACAACACCAATGTTACATTTTTAAACGATGCTCTGATCGGTGAGCTGGTGAGGAGACTAGCAGAGGGAACTGAGGGATCTTAATCGTCTCTTAAATGAAGTCCTCCACAGTTATCAATCAGGAAACTGTTTCTCACATTAACAGATATTAAACATTAAGTAACATGTCACACATACCTTGGTCGTCATGGGTTGGAACTTTGGTTTCTTGGCTGGTTGAATTGGCTCTCTGATGTCAGACAAAACTAAAAGAAACAAAAAATCAGTCAGTATTAATAATTTCTCCCCCCCCCCCCAAAAAAAAAAAACACATAGAGGCTTATATGCACATTTAAAATGAATACAAAAAATACAAATAAATACACTTAATGCGAGAACTGAGCTGAAGATGTAGTCCACAGTCAGGTAAAAGTCACATGGTGGTGATGATGTTAAACAGTCTGACTGTTGTGAACAGCTAAAACAGCTAAATCACAATTTTTCTAATCTGAAGAGACTTTTATTTTGAAAAGGTGTCATTGTGCAGAATCTTTTGAATGAATGCTAAACATCATTCAGGGGATTATAGTGCCTGTAACAAAAACAAAAAGAATCAGTTTGGCTGTAGATACTTCAAGAGTGATCGTGATTCAAAAGTCAGGATTGAAAGTCGTCAACAACTCGTTCGCCTGGAGCGAGCTCGTGTTGTTAGAATTGTTCTTTTAAATACTTATCTGACTCACTTTTTATGATTCTTTTTTTGACTTTCTGACAACAACAAATGAGCTCAAGGAGAAATGTTTATATATAATGAATCCCCGTGGCTCAAAGAAAGGAAGGAAGCTTATGTAGCTAACTACGTATGTAGAGCGATGATGTCACAGTTCTTATTCAGGATCACAAAGCTGTGATGGCTCCATTTGGGTTTAAAAAAAAAACAGAAAACTGAAGTGTGCACATCGAGGCAAAATGCAAACAGGTGCAGGACAAGAAATGTACAAACTGCAGAAGAAGAGAAAGGTCAGCACGCTGCTCGGCTCCAAATGGGACAATTTCATTTACGTAAACGGGGCAGCGTTTCGATCTACACAATCTTCCTCTGGTCTTAATGGGATTTTTTAAACTACAAAAAACAGCCGCCAGTAAACCCAAGAGGAGGGAAAAGTTGCTCCAAGGGTCTGAAATTGACTTTTTTCAAAAAATACAAAAAAACATAATTATCTGGCCAAACATGAAATGCCAATTTTTAACTCTTTTTTTTTTAACCCAATGCTGCATTCATCCATCCATTCAATCCATTATCTACACCGGTGCTCGCAGGTGGGGCTGGAGCCGATCCCAGCTGTCATTGGGCGAGAGGCGGGGTCGTTGTGTTCACCAGCCAATCACAGGGCTGACATATAGAGACAGACAACCAGACACACTCACATTCACACCTACACCTACACCAGTTAACCTAACGAGCATGTCTTTGGACTGTGGGAGGAAGCCGGAGTACCCAGCATGCACGGGGAGACTCCACACAGAGAGGCTCCCGTCCGTCGGGGACTCGAACCAGGAACCTCCTCGCTGTGAGGCAACAGCGCTAACCACTGCTGCATTCCATGTAAGACATTTTTGAGTAAGCACACAGTGAGACTCTGCAAACACTCTTCTGACACTCACAGGACTGATCTCTCTTGACCGTGTTCTTTTTCCGCCTGATGGGGAACTCGTCGATCTTCAGCTCCCCCTCGTCCGAGACGTACTCATACTCGTCCCTCACTGGCTTGCTTTTGTCCTCTTTCAGGTTTTGTAATGATCCAAAAACACTCGAGTTGGTCTGTGGTTTCAGCGCCTTGGAGCTGAAAAGGAAAACCACAGGAGAGTATAAGGGAGTGATGTGTGAGGCTCAGCCAGGGCACTCACAGCGAGGAGTCCTTGAATTATCGCTAATGGAAACGCCGCTGATAGCCACATAGCTGTATAATAATCAGAAGAAAAAAAAACACCACATGAAAAAAGGGCTAACGCGCTCTCCTCTCCAAAGACTGTTCATGAAACGTTTAGGCTGCAATCAGACATTCCATACATACCCCAGCATTTTCTTGTGAGACATCGTGAAGCTGAATCTGTCCTTATTGCCCGACAGCGGCGTTCTATCAAACTTGCATTCTTCCTCCATTTTCAGCAGAGAGTCGGGTTTACTGTTCTGTGAGGTGGAAAAAAAAAAAAAGGAGATGAGACACAAAAGAAGCTGACACAACATTAACTGAGAGACACAGCGGGACATGCACTTCTTTAAAAAGATTTATTTTTGGGGCTTTTTATGTCTCTATTGTAGAGACAGGACAGTGGATGAGTGGGGGGAAAACATGCGGGAATGTAGCCACATGCCGGACCTGAACCCGGGCCGCTCCTGTTGAGGACCCCCCCAACCCCCTGCACATAGGGCGTACAGACCTATCACCAGGCCACCAGCGCCCAGAACAAGCATTTAAAAAAAAAAAGGACTAAAAGCTGAATTTATTAATAAGGGCACAAGAGGAAGAACATCTGTTTCTGCTGACCCGCTCAGCTCTATGAAGTATTTCTGTCTCTTCAGACACTTGTTTTTGTTAAACAAGCCCTAATTAAAATATATAATTATTAGGGCTGGGAAACGATTATTTTTTTTTATAATTGTTTAATTTCTATAGTTAATCATTACATTAAACCACATGTTTGAATTTACATTTTTTACTGTTAAAAATAGAAATTGTTAGGCTTTTATTTTGAAATAAGGTAAGGACCTTCTAGTAGATCAAAAGGTTACGACGGGTAAAATTAACCACTCTTAACAAATCAAAAAGTAAATGAAAACAGCTCAAAGGAACAACGGTACAAGATGTGAAATGTTTGATGTCATGAGGTGGATATTACTTTGGACTCTTCAGCTGAGCTGTCTGAGAGATTTTTGAAGTTAAATGAGACAATCAAAGACGCAGCAGTGTCCTTCTTTTCCATCACTGTGACTACAGGGAGACACTAACGGAGACTTATCTACGGTGAGCCTAAAGGGACAAAATAGCATGGGATTGACTGCGCAAAAAAACCCCAAAAACTTTAATTTCAGACATAAATTAATCGCTGACAGCCTGAATAATACTGCAGTAAAATATATATGAAAAAGAAATAAAGGAAGACATGGTCCAGCTGTAATGCTCGGGTTACTGACCTGTCCATCATACACACTCTGGTTTATTTATACTCATCAAAGCCTGGTGAATTTAACACTTCAGTGTGTAGTTAGTGATGAATGTTTTTCAGATTTATATATTCTGACACTATGTCGCCCTAATACTTTTTCAGGATGTGATCATAAGTAATTTAATTTCCTCCAACTAATGGCTGTTTCAAGCGTCTAAGTCTAGTAAAAAGTTATTTAATCAAGAACACAAAAATACAGAGAAAATGTATAAAACGATCCTAGTGTTGCTCTCCACAGATCTTTTCATTTCGAACTTCTTTTCTGACCCAATTTTCAGACAAAACCAAAATCTGCTCAGAGGAATGCAAACCAGCTGCCATGAGAATCACCACGGAGCAGACAGTGTAAATTAAGTGAAATCCAAGAATATACGTTTTCCAAATATTCACTCTTCAACTCCTAAATGAAAGGCATGTGATGCTGGAGTGTAACCCGACACTGATGATTCACATTGTCTTATTTTTTAATTTTCAGTGCATTGACGGTGACATATGGAGCCACACTGTCCTGCACGCTGCACAGACTGAGCTGAGTGAACTTTTCTATGATTCAGCAGAATATCTAAAGAGATGATGGCGTGGTCTCCCAGTGACCTTTGTAAACATCTCACAGGGTCTCTGCTGTTCCTGATGCAAAGGAGCAGCGGGGCGGAGTTCCTCAGGGTCACTGCAAACATGCCTCAACAGAAACCGAAGCCCGTTAATGTCTCACCACCTCCTCCCTCATAAAAGCCCCCCCCCCCCCCTGCTGGTCAGCATTAATTATACAGCAGAGTTTGAGGGCCATGTGTAAGTACTTAGATGGAACACAGTGGACATGGCGTTATTCCATTAAGTAAACAGCGGGCTGGGCGGATGTTTCTGAAGCGGCTCTAAACAACTACAGACAGAAATGTGTGACTTAGGCCACATCCTCTTTTTTTTTTGGCTGATTTCTTTGAAGTGTCCAAACCACTTAAGTTGCCTGGCTTTTAACCTTCACCCCTGCTGCGTCACAACTCCATCTTTCCAAGCTTTCCACTTTATTTATCCCTTAAATGTTTTTTTGTCGTTCTTTCTTTTTCTTTTCTTTTTTTATCTCAGCCTTTATTTCCATCCCTGACATATTTTTTTTCGTCCGATGAAATGAGCTTACCTTATATTTCCACTTTGCTTCTGTCTTGTTTTTATTCTGCTCTCTGATTTCAAACTTGTCCACATTGTTCTGCTTGGATATTTCCTTCTCTGACATACTCAGGACATTTTTAACAGCCTGGAAATGGACAGAATTCAATGAAGGGCACAATTTATATCTCAAAAGATTCTTCAGAAAGTACTGGCTGCATTGTCTGTTCTGCATGCTGTCACATCTGAATAAAGCGTTCTGCTCATGGCTAATCAAGATTGCGTGCATAAAGTTAACACTAAGACTATAAATAGTTATGTAAAAAGATAAGAACGCTTGTTAGTTCATGCTACGTCCACGCGTCGTTTCTCACCTTTGTCTTTTTCGGCTGGTCCATCTTACTCAAGATGTCTTTTGCGTGGGACTCGAGAGCTGCAAAGCTGGAGGGTTTAGGAGGCGGCGACGACTCCTTGGCTTTCTTGGCTTTCTTCTTTCCTCCTTCCTTCACCTTAGGTACCTTTGGAGGTTTGGGGGCTTTGGGCATCTTTGGGGGTTTGGGAGGTTTGGGGGGTTTGGGGGGTTTGGAAGCTTTCTTCCGGGCTTTCTCTCTGCTTGGCGAGGGGACGTGGGCCGGGGAGACGGGCTCTTCGGGCTCCGAGTGGGTTGACGGGGGCTCCTCCACTGGCACCTTGATGCTGGGCTCACTCTTAATGGCTTTTGTTGCATTCTAGAAAAAAAAAGCAGAGAACTTTAAAGTGAGCAATAACGACATCATCATCGACTAAATCAAAAGGAGTTAAAGCCACAATGAACTCTGGCAGTGTGAGGGTTAAAGACTTATTAATAAATCATAGTTATTTGGCGACGCTGCTTTCAGCTGTTACGCTCCGAGACTGTGGAACGACCTTCCTGAGCGTCTGAGAGGAGCCAAGAATATCGAGATTTTTAAACGCAGTCTTAAAACTCATTTATTCAGTCTGGCTTTTATTTAGTGCTTTATATCAAATCTTAACATTACTGTATTGTCTTTTTTATCCTACTACAATTTTAAATATTTTCCTCTTATGTATTTACTTTAATATCTTGTTGCTTTGATATGTGTCATATTTTATTTTATTTTATTTTTATACATATTTTTTTATTCTTATTGGTGTGCATTACTCTCTCAATGATTTTATAAACAGCTTTTTGTCAATAACTTTTCTGCACTCTTGTTAAGCACTTTGAACTGCAATTTAATTTGTCTGAAAGGTGCTGTACAAATAAAGTTTGATTGATTGATTGATTGATTGATTCATATTATGTCCAGTAGAACTTGAGCTTTGCACAAGGAATGGATTACAGCTGCTGAACGTCCATTGCACCTTCTATCAGCTCTGTCTTACGGTCAGTTCACAAAGCATATTGCACGAATGATATTCAATCACAAACATTGAGAGTAAGTAGAACACAAGCAAAGATCTAGAGAGGAGGAAACAACATCAGTGAGTTTAAAAGAACAGCTTTAATTCCGACTGGACACACAGGTGCTGACAGGAAGTGACCAGAGGCAATGCAGGTTAATATATCTATATCATATATTTCAGTTAATTGAGAAGTCCAGACTCAAAAGTTATGATGTCAGTTTGAATGTTTATGACCGCTTTCTGTCAGGGAGGAGACAGACACATAAAACAAACACTCATCAGTGTCCTCAAGAGCGTCCCAGAGACGCTGCATGCTGAGCTGTTGGTGGAGCCACAGGCGGCCCCTGAAGGATTTACCCCTTCATTATAGTATTTATTGCAATTTTAATGCTATATTATTAAATTTAATTTATAGACCATTTATTTCTTAGTTGTCAAAAGGTGGAACTGTTGTCATGATCACTGGAAAGTTTGTGTGTCACATCCCTTATAAATACTGCGGCGCAGTTACCACCAACTCTCAGCAGACGGCAATTTTGTGTTGCAATAAGTTCTTTTTTTTTTTTTTTTAATTAGAAATATTTGCAAAAGAAGGAGACAGTTTTGCCCCAACGTCAAACATAATGGCACATTTAGAAATGCACAAACAGCAGCGTTGCACAGTGACACTGGTTTTGCTCTGCAGCTCATTTAGGACGCTCTCTGCGCACAGCCCTCGTGAACTTTGCACAAAAAGATATTGAATTATTTTCTAAATCTCAGAGTGGATTATCTTGCTGCATTTTTTGTCCCTTTATTTTTTCCAACAGCAATTCATATTGTTGGGTTTTTTTATGCTGAAGGTTGGCCAGTTTTTTTTTTTTTTCTTTAAACTGTTGCAGCAAAGCAAACGAGGCTCCTCAGGGCCTCCAGGTCGTATTCTCCTTTAATGGAATCAAAAAAAAAGAGAACATAACCATGTGAAGGCTTAAGCTGCAAACACAGAAGCTTAACGTAATGTTTGTCCCGTTGGTTTCATGTAGAGACAAGGCAACGGAGTCATTACAATGAACTTACATAACCTCTTCAGATTATGTAATATTTCTAAAGCTGACATTTCAATGAGAAGCCAACATTAAACATGTCCATCCTCTGATAACTATGAATATCTCTGCAGCCTTTATTATGTTAACTTGGACAAAAACTAAAAGCAGAACAGTTAGGTCAGGTCTCACTGAAGCATTAGTGTTCGTCATGTGGGGCTCACAGGTCAAGTTCATTTGGAGTCTACATTATTTGGGACTTTTTTTTATGCCTTTATTAGAGAGACAGGAAAGTGGATAATATCTGAAATCTGGAGAGAGAGAGAGAGAGAGAGAGAGAGAGACAGAGAGCGAGAGAGAGAGAGAGAGGAGAGGGGAATGACATGCGGCAAAGGAGCCATAGGTGGGAATCGAGCCCGGGCCACCCACCACCAGGACTGTAGGGTGGGCGCGCCAACTAACCACTCGGCCACCAGCCGAAAGTAAAAATTGAAGCCATCAATTCTACCAAAGTAAAAAAAACAAATACCTCTGACAGTCTGATCTCTTTGGCAAGATCCTTAATCAGCTGTGATGGTTTCATGTTCTCTGGAAGCTCATCTTCATGTTCCAATAGGGCCTGTTACAAAAATACAAACACACACACACACACACACACACACACACACACACACACACACACAAAAATAATAATTACAAAGTGTTTCACAATATCTTAGAGTGTTTCACACATGCAGAAAACTCCTGAAAACAATCCTGATATTTCCAGGAGGAGCTGTATGTGTGAACGCAAGCAGACACATTTTTCACTCTGACTTCCCCTGGAGTTTCAGGACACCCCGACCCCCGACCCCCGACCCCCGACCCCCGACCCCCTCATGTCTGACAGGTATAGTCTCCCGCTGTGAGGAGCATAATGTGAACAGCCAGGTCAGGAGAATATCAGGAGCAGTAATCCTGAAATGATCTCGATATGTTCAGGAGTGCATCATGTGAAAACGTCTTTGGGTGGCCACACATTCCACAGACACGTCCGTACCTGTTTCTTAGTCCAAGCTCTGAAGGCTCCATTGATGATTTTGGCACCGTGTACCAGATATGGGGCTGGTTGCTTATTTGCTTTATGTAAACCTGCAGAAAAAAGAAATGCAAATGTTATCATTGAATGAAACATGACTTTTAAAATCTCAGAGGTCATACGCTAAAAAAAAAAGAAGATGTTCAGTGTGGAGAGCAGAGATTCAACGGGAGCAGACTCAGTGTTGTCTGACTGTGTTGTTTCAGGGCATTAACGTGTGGGGGGGGGGGGGGGGGGGTGTAGCCCCCAACAGAGTACAGGTCTGTGTGCACACACGTGTAGATCAGACACACTAAAGCGTGGCACCTTCCACCGGGTTTATCACAAAATCAAAAAATACTGTTTCACTTTCCGACTCACTGCTTCGTTCATGCTTTGCCCCTCACTCTCTTTGTTTACTCCTAAAAATCTCCTCAATCACTGCCGGGTTTTTTTTGGGGGGAGGAGGGGCCGACTTTAACGGCAGAAAAAAGCAGCGTCCGAAAGGAGATTTAAAACCAAAACAGGAAATTATTAACATCAAGAGAAATACCACAGCAGAGGACGGAGACTGAAAGAGATGACCTTGAAGTTAAAAAGAATTATGGTACATTAATGGCAAAGCCTTGTGGGTAAAAAAAAAAAAAAAGAAGAAGCTGTGCACACACACACAATACACACACAATACACACATACACGGGAAAAATGGTGGAAAGATAAACAGCAGGCCCACGCCAGCTGAGCCGTTTAAACACAGGCTCGTAATGGAGCAAGTGATTCTAGCTGGGCCAAACCTTCTGAAGCTAATCATCTGTGAACTGGGCGATTCACCGATTTAATGACTGAAATAATATTAAAGCATCCAGCTCCTCATCTGTGCAGCAGACATGCAGCCACATGCTTAACGTGAAGTGAGGGGTGGAGGGAGAGAGAGAGAGAGAGAGAGAGAGAGAGAGAGAGAGAGGAAGTGTTTGTGTGTTCTCTGCTCTCGTGCATTCTTCTGCAGAAACAGAAAAGTTAAATAAAGCAAAGAGGTTTACATTCACACAATGAAAATGTAGACGTGTATCTAACTGATGAACGAGTTTACCTTTGAAACGCTCCAGCAGATGTCGCCCCACATACCAGCATGCCGTCTCGAAGTTCGGGAAGGGGGTGAGAGTTTTGACCTTTAGCCGCTTCTCGATTTCGTACGCTCTGAGGAGAAAAGAAAAGGTCGGTGGGATTTGAATCTACGATCAAGTTCTGATCCAGTCCCGTGCTAACGTCTCGACCAGATAAGATCAGAGGAGACATGATGTCATGAACTCCGTGTTGAACGATGAGTCGGCTCATTTTCTGAGATTTAGAGATTTGTGTATTTTTGTAACATATTGACTTTCCATTCTGTCAGTGAAAACTGGAGTATTTATGAAGAACACAAGTTAACTATTTCTTCATGAATCATTTGATTTTCATTCATTTTATTTATAGATGTAAATACTCAAAGGTCAACCAGATGGAAGAATGAACTCCAGATATTTCCAAAATCCTTCAGCATGTGACAGAAAGAAAACGCTTACATATGTGATTTGTTTATGTCACCTGGTTTAGACTCTCCCGCTCTGTTCTGTTATTATTTAAATGTTTTAAAGGTTTTTTTTGATGCTTTTATGAGAGACAGAACAGTGGAAAGATTCAGGATTAGGGAGAGAGAGAGAGTTGAGGATGACCACGGAGACAGAGGTCGGATTTGAACCCAGGCCGCACACTTAAGAGTGCAACAGACTCCGTACAAGGGGCGTGCACACTAACCACTAGGCCACCGGTGCCCCACACTCTGTTCTGTTAATCGTTGAAAAATGTGCCTTCGTATTTGAAGTTGAATATTGTACTCTGAAGGGAGAAAATGTCTTATGTCCCAGTAAATAAATCCAAATAAAAACATGACTCTCTGCAGCAGGCGTGTGTGTGTGTGTGTGTGTGTGTGTGTGTGTGTGTGTGTGTGTGTGTGTGTGTGTGTGTGTGTGTGTGTGTCATGAAAACAGGTCGACTCACCTCATCTGCATCTCCACACTCAGGTTGTGGACAAAGTGACCGGAGAACGCCAGGCAGTCCACGGGCGTCAGGATGGCGTTGATCCAACCTGAGGCACAAACGGATTGAAAAAGAAAAAAGTGAGTGGATACAGATATTTATGTAACGCTTCAGATCAAAAAAAAAGAACAATTTCTATTATAGTTTTTATCCTCCCTTCTTCATCCACGACTTCATGACTAACTGGCTGATGTTTAGTGTTCACATTTTCCCTCCTCATATTTACACTAAAATTATAACTATTATAAGACTATTAAAGTAGTATTATTACAATTATTAGGCTATTAAAGTATTATTATTACTCAAGAATTATTATTATTAGTTATGATTTCTGAAACCTTTTCATTTTTTCTTTGTTTGTTTATTTCATTTGGCCTCCTGAGTTAAATTAAAGTCAGAACTTTTTATCTTCATGACAGTTCTCCCTCACGTCCATCAAATGTTCAGAGCTCAAACTCGCATTCAAACATCAACCAAAAGATGTTCATTCATCTATAATTATTCAATAAATATATTCAAAAACGCAAAATATATTGCCTAAAAAATAATAATAAAAAGTGGACCCATTTACCCTATATATTTTGTATTTGTGTATATATTTGTTGTACACCTATAGATGTGTGAAACCTGTTTGATATCTATTGTCTGGTTCATTTCAGGTTCCTGGAGCCACAAAGGCCTTTTTCATTTCAAAGGCTGTTGTCCAAATCGTTCACTAAACTAATAGTACGTACTAGTAGAGTAAATACAGTATGCAGTAACCCATGCAAGATCTGCACTATGCCAAAAATACCTAACCCTAACCCAGTGTTTCCCACAATGCAAATGTTGAATGAGATCTGCAGTTTGATAGTAATATGTAGTAGGCGGTTTGGAAAAGAGTCAAACTATAATTTTCTCGACTCTGACGTCCACTTTGATTGTGTCTGATAACTGACACAATTACCGTAGATTTTTTACACAGCAACTGAAGAAGAGAGTCTTGAAACGTGTTTTTTTTTAATGCAGTGAGAAAATAAATAATTATCTCTCAGTCTGGTGAATGTTTGTACATCATATCCAGGAGTTATATTAGATACACTTGTGGTATCGTTTTACTGCGTTTGTTTTTAAGATATGAAGAGGTCAAAAAGCTCCGGCAACACTTTATTAACTAATCAGAGCCACACATTTGGCCTTGTGTCCTTCATCAGGGGTCTAATTAGTTAATAAAGTTTATCTTTGTACTACAAGTGCTGCTGCAGCTTTTGACCTCTTCACTCTTGATGCACTCTGGTGAGTTGTTGAAGTCTTACCAGAATCCCCCACTCTGCGTCTTCTGTTTTCTTAGATATCAAAACTCAACACACATGAAGATTCTGTATTTTAAGACGACTTCTCCTAATGAACCAAATGGTTTGTGGTCTGACTCATGAGTGACCTGAGAGCAGCTCTGACCTGACGGGATGAACAGCGTCTGGCCCTGCTTCAGGATGCATTTGTAACACTTGTCCACCTGGTCGGCGAAGAACATCTCGCTGTTATTGGACGATGATCTCCAGCGCTCGTACAGAGACAGGTTGGCGGAAGTTGGCTTGATCAGGAAGAAGATCTTTTCTCCCTGCAGGAAAAAAAAAAACACAACACGATCAAGACTCCCGGCCATCAGCGTTACCTAGCATCACTTTAACATCAGAAAGTCTCTTCATCTGTAACTCAGTATAAACTGTTTCACATCAGCGGCGGAGCGTTACCGACCTTTAAGACGTGGTACCAGACGGAGGCGCCACCGCACTCGATGTGGAAGTCTGTGTAGCTGTCTTTGACACAGATGAGACAGTATTTGGTGACCTTCGGCTTCCCGAGCAGAGCGTCGTCAGGCCAGTAGTTTTCTACCCACGACAACCGCCGCACGATCTGCGGACTCTCCACGATACTGTTCATCCTGTCCCAGACAAAAACAAACAAACAAACGAACAAAACACCAAATCAGCACCAGGAGCGTTTCCCCCCCCCACGCTTTCTTACACGACCTCATGTCCCCCAGCGTCGCCGCGTTACCTCGTGTCAGAGAACTCCAGGTTGATGACGTTTAAGACTTTCTTTCTGTTGGTGCTGTAGTAAAAATCCACAAACTCTTTGAGCTTCATCTTGCTGTCGCTCTGTTTGGTGACATCGACGACGTCCACTCCCACATCGGGACCTGAGACGAGAACAGAGGACACAATGAACATGAAGCTGCCTGTAGTCGTGATACTGGAGACACTGTTTGTAGTGAATGATCTCATGACTGAGCACCAGGGCACAGGGAAATGAAAGAACACGTGCGCCCTCTACTGAAACAATACTATAGTTTACATAGAGATGATTTTACAAGTGGGGAAGTCGATGCACCAAAACACAAATATTATATATATAAATATATGATGTAGCTGTTAATATTCTCTGTTTTCTTTTTATGCTCAGGAGAGATTTACAATCACATAAAGGAGCAAAAAAAAAAAACAGAATGAGGAGAAAGAAAGAAAGGAGTAAAGATGGTCACGTTTGTTAATCATAACCTGGAAAGAGAGAGAGAGAGAGAAAAAGGTTGACGTACAGTCAAGCATTAGACAACATCTGCACAATGCATACATAGTGATGATCAAGTTTATATGTTTTATTTTCTATCGTAACAAAGAGACACACACCTGTAGAGGACATGGAAACCGCATGAAGATAAAAAGGGAGCACACACACACACACACACACACACACACACACACACGATGCAAAGTTGTCCCATGGTGTGCTCTTAGGCACGACTGCCTTGTTTGTGCAAAAATAGTGAGCGAGGAGTGTGCAGATGTGTAACGGCGTAAAAGAATCAAACAGTGTGACAGAAGAAACAAAAGGTGCTCAGTGTCAGGGCCCTCATGGAGGTTTAGACTTCTGATGGACTGCGGCTTCTTGCCCGAGGGTAACAGGAGTGCAATCATCGCAGTCATAATTATAGTAGAAGTAGCAGTCAGGGTGACATCACTCGTGGTAGTAGTCATAGTAGTAGAAGGTGGAGTGATTTAGTAAGTAATCACAGCTATAAAAGCTGCAGCAGCATTACTAATAATTATAGTAGATGTAGAATAGAAAGCCTGCTTCGAGTGATAACAGTCAAAGTTGAGTTTTTAGTGGTTTTATGAGTAATATGAGTAAGAATGGTGGATAAGCACCATTACGCATGCCAGTTAATAAACAGGGGAAGTTTTTGTTTAAGGTGTACTAAGCTAGTCTGTACAGTGAATTACAGAAACAATAACACATTGTGTGTTTCTTTACATGTATGTTCACTGTCTTGCTTTTACCTGATGTCATCCTCTGATCCCTCTTTATATTCTATAAAAATCTTCTGCTTTTCTTCTTCCTTTTTTTTTTAAAGTTATTCTTTATTAGACAGGACAGTTAAAGAAAAACAGGAAATGTTTGGGAGGAGAGTGTAGGGGGATGGCATGCAGCAAAGGGCAGAGGTCAGATTTGAAGGGACATAGTATCTAAAGTATCTTCTACTTGTCACTGTATCTTTAAATGACTGTTTTTCACTAATACCCTCAATTTTTTATTTCTGTTGCTTTAATCTGCTTTTACTTGTTTTTGTATCATTTACTGTCTATTTATGCTTTTATCTCTTAACTTATTTTTATTTTTTACATTTTCACTGCTCTTAATCTCTTGTCACTATTTGAATCAATCAATCTTCAATCAAGTCCCTTACATTGTTCGTATAGAGCCAATTCTTAACTAATGTTATCTCCAGACGCTTTACAAAAAGAGCAGGTAAAAGACTTTACTCATTGTTATATTTCAAAGACTCAACATGAGCGTAGATCATTGGCAAGAAAGAAAAAAACGTCCTTTTAAGAGGCAGAAATCATGAGGGAAACCAGACTCATGATAAACAGCCATCTGCCAATGTGTATTGCTCCTACTGTTTAAGCATCTCTGTATTTTGTTGCCTTCACTCTTTTTATTCTTCTCATTTTTACCTTTTGACTGCTGTGAATTATATATATTTTTTGCTCTCATCCATATGAATGTTTCTGTCTCTTTCAGTTGCTCACATCATCACATGGTGTTTCTAGGGTTCTTATGATGTTCTTATCATTATGTTGGTTTAGTTGGTTCTGGTATTTGTTGTTTGGGTTCCTCTGTGGTCAGGGTCTTGTGTTGTCTTTGTCTTTTTGCTGTTGTTTCTGTTCTTATTCATTCTTCTAAAGTTGCCTTCAGTAACAGAGGCCAACAGTAGCAGCAGCAGTTGTAGAAAGAATTAGAAATATTGAGTAACAGAATCAACACTATTATCAGCGTTGAAGCGTGCGCCTTACCGACGTAGTTCTCCACATCACTGATGTAGAAGGTGGGGGCGGGCATGGACATGCCCAGGCCGTCTTTCTTCTGAGCCAGGATCGGCTCATTGAAGCCGTTTTCCTCCAGGTAATCCATGGTCAGCTGACTGCCGCTGAGCTTCACCACTACATCGTCAGCACTACAACACACACACACACACACACACACACACACACACACACACACACACACACACACACACACACACACACACACACACACACACACACACACACACACACACACACACACCACACACACACGCAGAGTGAGTCAATTCAAGAACATTTTACTGACTGAAGAAATTAAACGTGGAACTATCTGAGAAGCAGATCTTCATAGATTATATGACAGTGCCCTCTAGTGGAGTAATTACTTCAGTGAGGAATTATTAGAGACAAAGGCTGTAATCAAATATCTGGAGGTCTAATCAATATGAGGAGTCATTTCATTTTCTGCTAATTGAGCTTATTCAATATGCTCCTAATGAACCAGTGTTAAGTCGTGTTAAGTCGTTAAATCGAAGTTTGAATGGTCACTGCTTCTCATCTGGTTATATGTGATGGTGACATGTTTACAGGTTCATTATCAAACATAAGAAAATGATTGTTTACCTCGGGAACGTCCGACTGCGAAGCTCCTTTATGAAAACCTGACTGCCGTTCTGAACCGCTTTGATGTCCGTGCTCTGCCCGTGTCATGTTTGCTCCAGTTCTTTTTTTTATTTTTCACTGAAGGAAAGCAAACAAAGCGTTATCATACAGACGACACTCTGGGAATCATTGAATTTCATATTCAGACAGAAAACAACACATTTTCCTTAAAGGGCAGGTTTTCTCTCACTCTCTGATTTGTTTTTAGAGTTTCATATCACGCCACAGAAAAAGCTGGGAAGAAGTGAAACTGTCACATTACCGAGGCAGCTGTTTCACTTTTTCTCAACAAAAAAACAAAAACAAAAAATCAGCAAAAAATAAATCATCTCTGTCAGCAAAAGTCAATAAATCTGCCCTGAGTGGGGGGGGGGGGGGGGGGGGTTCTTACTGGTGGATTTGCCGTGAGTCTTCTCGCAGTTGGGACAGTGATAGATGTCGATATCTGGAGCGTCATCTTCATCCACCTCCACACAGCTGAAAGCACAAGAGAGAGAGAGAGAAGATTCAGTGATGAGGAATGTCACACTAAAGGATCGGTTATTGAGGTTATGTCAAAGTCTGTGATGACTCTCTGATTAAGATAAATGTCACCTCCGCAGTGTCTCACTGAGACTGAGTGTTCTTCATCAAGATGACACAGTTTATACATTCATTTGACAGCAGGGCTGCATTTATTGGTTTTTATCACTATCAGTTAACCCAGCGATTCCCAAAAGAAAAGTTTAGGAACCACTGACTAAACCCAGCAAATATATTCTCCAATATTTGAAAATAATCAAAAATAAAAATGATTGAAATCTGTGTAAATTGTCCACCAGGCTGAGTTTCTAACGTCACATTTGAGAGTCAGGGAGCAGATCATGTCAAGAGGTGGTGACTGAAATATAAATTCAGCTGTTAATTAATTAAAAAAAAGTTTTTCAACTCTTCAATGAATCTGTATTTCTGAATGAACTCGTATTGCTTCAGCTGTAACTGAAAGTATCAAAATGTTCCCATAAAACACTTCAAAACAAACAAACAATAAAACACTTCAGCGACAAGAAAAACAAGCAGAGGTTTTATATTTAAACTATGGACAGTACAGCAGAGAGCAGCGCAGCACGCACAGCAGACAGCAGGCTATAAATACCGCTCCGAACATGTTGAGATGTTGTTTATTTAGCTCTCTGATTTACAGCGGGGCCCGCGTCTCTCTTCTTTCTACATCTTTCAAAAGCATCAGAAACATTCAAGAACATTTCAGAGACAAACTTTTCTAAATCAAATGTGATAATGAATGCAGGGAATGTCTCCTTTTACTGATTCATGAGCGCAGTGCAGCACAGACAGTAGTGTTTCAGGAGAGAAACGTTAGCATCCGAATGCTAGTGGAGCAGAAAAACAAGAGGCAGCATTGTGAAGAAGAGATGAAGGAACAAACGGAGAGTGGTCGTCTCTCCTCCCGCTGTTTTCAAACAGCAGCTGTCACGCTCTCTGCACAAGCAAATTCCTCCCATTTGGAGCCGCTGCACCCAAACTCAAACGAACTGGGAGTTTCCCAGAATGCTTCCTTTTCTTTTCTTTTTTCTTCTTTTTTTTTCCCCCTGTGTGAACTCCACGGCTTTACTACACCGCCTACTCGCTTTCACTGGAGGCAAACAAATAGAAGAGTGGGTGGGCCTGGAGGAATAGTGGAAATGCCTGTTCATGACATGCAGAACTCAGTGACTTGGAGGGAAACTGAAGTTTGTTGTGAACATTAACACAGGCAGACAAACAGACGCTTCATTGAGCGTGACGTCACCGGCCACTTTTTAATACTCAGAAGCAGAACTCGAGATAAGAAGATAATAAGGAAGACGTGTTATTCCACCAGTGCTATGCCATTACATCTCAAAGTACATGTTCTGGGTTGAGGCCTGTTTTTTTGTTGTTTTTTATAATTTGAAGGCAGGTTTGGTCTTTCAGTCGGGCTTAAAATCTTAACACAGCTCACTTTAAAATAAAGAGCAGCTGTAAAAATGATGTTTGTGTTAAAAACTTTTTGGTGCCCAGTTTGAAATATATCAACAGGAACCAAGAGGGGAGGGTTCAGCTGTCTCTCAACCGTAAGGTCAAGGGTTCAATCCCCAGTTCCTGCATCTACAAGTCCAATGTGTCCTTGGGCAAGACACTTAACCCCAGATTGTTCCCGCTGCTTAATCGGCACATATAAATGTGTATGAATGGGATTAGTTACTACTGATGGTCACTACAGAGCAGCCTCTACCATCAGTGTGTGAATGTGTAGGTGTGACCTGCGGTGTCAGAGCACTTTGAGTAGTCAGAAGACTTTACAAGCTCAAGTCCATTCACCATTCACCACATCTGTGTAGAATGCAGCACACATCTCTGGGTTTTTAACCGTCTTATTTTTAAAAAAAAGGAGGTGTCGCTCTGAAGTTATTCGCAGAGTGCAAAACTTACGAGGACTTCAACAGAAATCTGCTGCTCACTTTCAACCAAAGGTCATGTTACATCCTGCAGGCCTGATTATATCTGGGGGGTGGGGGGGGGCAGTAATACATCAATCTGAGACAATAGAGCCTCAACAGATGAACATGAAGGAACTTCCAAATGTCATGGACAGTAGAAGGATTTCTATTTTTATGATGCATGAAGCTAAGATCTCATATAAGGTAATCCTTTATTGATACCCAGTGGAGAAAAAATGGAAGTGTTGCAGCAGTAAAAAAGACAAAAAGAAGAGCATGCATATGAGTGGATAAAATAAGAAAAATATCATGTATGTACAATTATTAATAAGTATAAAGTAAACTATATATGAATTAACTGTCAAACTACACAGGACAGTCAGACATGTTAATAAATGGCAGTCAAGTTAAAGTGACTGTTTATGAGCAAGTGACAATTATCTGATAGAGTATCCCAGGAGAATAACATAATAATACAGTTTATGAGTCAATAAATGTCAGGGATTATGAACAGCAAAGTTGTCATTGTGAGAGCTAGATCATGACTTATTGGTACAAAGATGACCTTGTTTATCTAATGGCACACAGGTACACTCTGAAAAGTTTTTTTTATTCTAAGATCATCACAACAACGCTATAACGTCGAAACGAAAAACAAAATATAGCTGGAGTGAGTTTAATTCTACACATCACATCTCAAAGTCTTTCTATGAACAAACTATGGACATGTGACGATGGACGTGAACTAAGAAATGGAACAAAACAATATTTAAAAGGTGCTCCAAAGATGACACAAGTTTTTGTCCAGGTACAAATTCACCACCCACTCAGTATGTCCAAAGTCATTAAATACTAACCCATGAAACGGGCCACATTTAATTGCAAGGGACGCTACCAGCAGGCTGATTAGCTGATTTAGTCCCGCTTCTGAAAAGTCAAACAGCCAATAATATTTCAGGATTTATTTTGGGCGTGGTCACAGGGTTGGCCAACACTTGGCTCCGCTCCTGTGTCCACAGCTTGTTGTAACTATGGCATTATTTTGCTTAGATCGTTGAAAGTCATGCTCCCACAAACAGAGTGGACACCTCTGTTAAGAAGGAGGTGTATTTTGTGATCATTCTACTGAAGTGTGCAGGCTAATAATCCTGGGTTTGTTAATGATGGCTGTAGGGACTTGGGTTGGGAACCAGAGGGGGTCGCCGGCTCGAGTCTCAGTGCAGACAGAAGCATGGAAGTCGGTCCGATAGCTGGAGAGGGGGCCAGGTCAGCCCACGAGAACTGCTGAGGTACCCTTGAGCAAGGAACCGAAACCCCAAACATCTCTGGCGCGCTCCCTCTCAGTAACAGAGTGTAAACCACAGTTTTCCCTCATAATTCCCCTCAAAAGTAAGGAGCCGTGTCTATCTTTCTATCATCATGACAGTCCTTAGAGGTGAGTCACAGCCTGCAGTGAAGCAGAAAAATTACAAGAAATTGTTCACATCATGATGGGAGAAGAGGTCTTAAGAGGCATTGAATACGTATTAAATCTGGAATGAGATATTGACGAACAGTATGAAGCTCTTTGCAGAAGAAATGACACCTACAGGACATGATTACCTCCTACAGGACATGGTCACCTCCTACAGGACATGGTTACCTCCTACAGGACATCCTACAGGACATGGTTACCTCCTACAGGACATGGTCACCTCCTACAGGACATGGTCACCTCCTACAGGACATGGTTACCTCCTACAGGACATGGTTACATCCTACAGGACATGGTTACCTCCTACAGGACATGGTTACCTCCTACAGGACATGGTCACCTCCTACAGGACATGATTACCTCCTACAGGACATGATTACCTCCTACAGGACATGATTACCTCCTACAGGACATGGTTACCTCCTACAGGACATGGTTACCTCCTACAGGACATGGTTACCTCCTACAGGACATCCTACAGAACATGGTTACCACCTACAGGACATGGTTACCTCCTACAGGACATGGTTACCTCCTACAGGACATGGTTACCTCCTACAGGACATGGTTACCTCCTACAGGACATCCTACAGGACATGGTTACCTCCTACAGGACATGGTTACCACCTACAGGACATGGTTACCTCCTACAGGACATGGTTACCTCCTACAGGACATGGTTACCACCTACAGGACATGGTTACCACCTACAGGACATGATTACCTCCTACAGGACATGGTCACCTCCTACAGGACATGGTTACCTCCTACAGGACATCCTACAGGACATGGTTACCACCTACAGGACATGGTTACCACCTACAGGACATGGTTACCACCTACAGGACATGGTTACCACCTACAGGACATGGTTACCTCCTACAGGACATGATTACCACCTACAGGACATGGTTACCACCTACAGGACATGGTTACCACCTACAGGACATGGTTACCACCTACAGGACATGGTTACCACCTACAGGACATGGTTACCACCTACAGGACATGGTTACCACCTACAGGACATGGTTACCACCTACAGGACATGGTTACCTCCTACAGGACATGGTTACCTCCTACAGGACATGATTACCTCCTACAGGACATGGTTACCTCCTACAGGACATGGTTACCTCCTACAGGACATGGTTACCTCATGGTAAGTGTTGGGGTCCTGCTCACCTTGAGGTTCTATTCAGCTATACCAACCAGGCACAGGCTGAATTTAGAGTTTTTACAGAAGCCAGTATAAGACTGTAAATCATGCAAAGCTCCTCTGTAGGTTTCACAGACTGACAAGATGAACGGATCTTAACGTCAAGGACAGAAACGATCTGGATCTGTTGACTATGCTGATACAACGTCTGCATAATCAGTGCAGCTCACTCACATTAGCTAACATGTTGTCTACAACCACATGATTAAGCTTTCATTCAAATATTCACAACATGCGGGCTGATCATCTTTTTTTTCCCTCTGAGAAATAGCCGGCTAAATCCTTCACACACTCGTCCTCAAACTTGGGGCTCACAGCCCGGCAT